TGCTAAAATGATTTATTAAAATCAAACCATTAATAGCTCTGTGACGTCTCTATCTACGTGTATTCAACAACTTCCCGGCTGGAGCAATGCATTCATTTTTGCACACAAAAAAAATCTGAATTTGTAGCTTAAAAAAAAAACAGCTTAATAACCCAAAACAATTAAATATTTTCTGAAAGCAGAGACCCTTCAAAATAATGGTAAAAAAAAATTATAGCTGCAATTTTTGATGTTGCACAGGATATGCTAAAATGTTCATCAAACTGGTATTTTTAGGATAAAATACACTAAAAAGAATTTCAGTGCACAGAAACAAAATATAATACCCATTTTTTTTGGTAAAAGTTAAAAGATGGGGTTGTCTTGGGTAAAGATACCAAACATGTCAAGCCTTAGAAATGCATGTGCCTTTTGAAATGGGGGGAAAAACTACAATACCCAAAATTGGCCATAGGCGATGTTTTAAAAGCTTTTACCGCCATCATTTTAGTGTTAGCAGTGATTGATGACCCTAGAATTTACTAGGGATGCACCGATACCAGTATCGGTGCCCATACCGAGTATTTGGGCGAGTACTCTTTTGCCCAAATGCTCCCATAACGGAACTCCCGGTCAGAGGAAATCCCCCTGCCGCGAGGGAACATGGAGCCAGCTTCCCGGCCAATCAGGAAGCCGGGTGGCACATAATGACTCGCCACCTATGATTGTCTGCTTCGTGATTGGCCGGGAAGCCAGCTTACCAGCCATTCACTATCAGGCCAGCCAAACAGCATGGCGCACCAGTGTATACATTTTTCCTACAAGACTGGTAGCACATGCAGAGACAGAATTGCATTTTCTACGACCCTCCAGTTTAGCAGCTGTAACGATCATGATGTTACCTCTGCAGGAAATCATATAATCCATGAATTATGATTGTCTGCCATCCTAAACTGCAGGCATCCTCAGGTCAGACAGTTGTGCATAGTCAAAAATGTGATTCTAGACTGGATATACAGTACAATACAAGTGTTTGATTTACCTGAATTTTCACTGCTGCTCTGTTAAACCTGTGAAGAATCATGTAATTCAGGAATGCAGGTATCTGTGAATCATGGATTGACCAATATATAATTCTTCCTATATATATTTATGTAAATCAAATAGTTGTAGGTCAGCAGATTGTTAGATATTAGTGAATCCATGTGCAGTCAATTTTGCTACCAGATTATGTATAGCGACAGAAATTGGTCTCAGATGTAAAAAAATATTTCTCGCTTACAGGTACCATTCTTAAATAGGCTCATACTGGTTTGACAGACCTGCGCTCTTGGAAGAAATGGTTCTATTTGTTCTACAAGAATCTCAGGGTATTGCATTTTCTTCCTGTACTAGGATAAAAAAAATGAGTAGTAGCCACTTTCAATTTTCAAAGTTTCAAGTTCCAGACATGTCATGGTATTTTAACAAGCAAATACATATTTAAAGTACATCTAAAGCCTTTTTTACCTTTGGATAGAGTGGGGAAATGTTAGAATTTCTGTTAGGTTTGTATTGCTCTTTGCCATCAGGGGCTGTCATTTTCACCAATACAGACAGCGATGGAAAATCCAAAATTCTAGTTGTCACTGGATCAAGAACTGAAGGGAACTCTTCCAAAGGGTGCACTGGTTCTAGTGACAAATGTCTAATAGAGGACTTTAACTTATTGTATGCAGGACAGGAAGTGGAGAGGGGGGGAGCTAACCAACAAAGATGGCAAAAAAAAAGACACGCGCATCCCAAAAAGGGATTCTATCCATTCCCTACTTTATACAAAACTAAAAAATATTATTTCAAACAATTGACCGCACACCACTCCACTTTATTGAAATACATGGCTCTTGATCACATACCGCCCCTGATTCTTCTACTACACATAAGTTGCATCCACACGTGTTTCATTGACAATTAGGCCTGGGTGGGTGAAACGCAGCAGAAGAAGCGGGGAAGATATGCGATTGTGAGCCATGTATTACTGGCCGCTCTATTATCACTAAAAATCACCATTGTAGTCCTGAGAACTACAGCGGGCATATACATAACAGTCGGGCTGCACACAAAGAGGATGTTCGATGGTGGGCATCACTCAGCCAGAAATGTGCAGCGGGCAATGAAGAGTTCAATTTGGTGCACTGGGAGAAGAGGACTCACTGGAGCAAACATGATGTAAAGGACATCCTCTCTTCTTCCACTACTGAAGGTAAGCAAGAAAAAAACGTTTTGAGAACATTTCCAACTTTGACCCAGTACATATAGGTCTCAGGGCTAAACTTATAAAATAAACACATACTACTGCTGCTAGGAAACAGGTTCAGAGCACTGTGAGGCTGCAGCTGTGCCCAACTGGAACTAAGAAAAACCCCCATAGTGCCATCAAAACACCACAATAGTTATTATAAATCAACAGCACAAGTTAGCAGTGGTAGTAATATAGTTTAAGCTTTTCATACTGTACTGCTAATACATAATAGTATGGCTGATCTTCTGCCATCTGTTACCATGATGAAATAAAAGCTCCCACAACCTGGTACAATACTTTCTCATCCATCACCACGATAAAATAGAAGCTCCCAACAACCTGGCACAATACTTCCTCACCCATCACCACGATAAAATAGAAGCTCCCAACAACCTGGCACAATACTTCCTCACCCATCACCACGATACACTAGAAGCTCCCACAACCTGGCACAATACTTTCTCACCCATCACCACGATAAAATAGAAGCTCCCAACAACCTGGCACAATACTTCCTCACCCATCACCATGATAAAATAGAAGCTCCCAACTACCTGGCACAATACTTGCTTATGGAGACACCCTTCAACAGCAGCACTGCCAACCAGTGGAAGGGGTAGGGTTATACGTACTGGCTAATTTAGATGGACTTAAGTACACTAGTCTAAGCTTCTACTCATTAACATTTAATGCTGCTCGATCTTTAACCCTTTGCTGGGACACTGTTCAAATCAGTTTATAAATACCAATTTGATCTAATAGGTTAAAAAATATCTCCCCCCCTCACTTAGGGCAAAGTAGCCACCCTGCACCTTCCCCGCTTCACATGTCTCCATTGCCTAAAAGCGCACTGACAACTTTTTAGCAATGTTCCACAACGAACACTGTTGTGCTCGTTGTGGATGCAGTGCACTATTGCTTGGCACTGGACCCACAAGGCATCTTCTGAACCAAAGGTTTCCTGCATGGGTTCCCTGAAAAGGACAAGCTTATTAAGACTTTTCCTGTGCACTCCCTTTTGAGTGTGGTGTTATACGTTGACTGGCCAAGGCCTGATAGGGCGTTCACCCCCTTTAAGTGCATTGCTCAGCAATTCCCTATTGGGGTGCACTTCCTTAAAAGGTACCCGTTGTTGATTTGGCTATATCCGGTCTTGGCTATATCCGGTCTTATTAAAAACTACCGGTAGATGATGATCCAGTTTTTTAGATTCTGTGGATAGCAGATTAGAGGCCCTCCTCAAGGCTTCATGCGCTTCAGCTACATAACCTGCTGCTGTTTCCTTGCTTACATAGTTACATAGTATTTGGCGTTGAATAAAGACATACGTCTATCAAGTCCAACCCATATAGGTCCACGCATCATCCCATTCTTAGGGATACTGGTATCCGTGGATTTCCATATCGGTTTAGTGTTTGATCTTTTGTTTTTATTACCCAATGGTATACACTTTGAAATGGCAATATGTAATGTGTTCCTGAAGCAGTCCCACATTTGGTCTGAGTTTAGGTTGTGAAATGAGTTATCCCATTTTATTTCCGCCACTAGTTTGCGCAACTTATCGAACTTTGCCCTTCTGGAATTAAGGGTTCTTGTCCGTCCCGCCCTCTTTCCTTTCCTGTATTGTTTCCTGTGCTTGTTTGCGTGTGTTCGCCCGCCGAGCGCCCCACAAGGCGTTGTGCCTTGTGAAGCCATGATTGGCTAATGCCTTGCACCTGAACACAGATAGATGCTCATATCTGGAACATTGTTCTAGCTAGTAAATCTGTCTAGTGTGTCCTGATGGCTTTTAAGGTCCCCATGCTCCAAATATGCACAGTGCTAATTTAGTGATCTCATTCCAAAAAAAAAAAAAAGAAAATAAACCTATACTTCCAATGGAAATGTTCCAAATCTAGTTGTTTTACTCAGCTTAGATAGTGGGCCTTACACCTGTACAATCTTACTGCACCAAGGTCTCTTTTCCAGAAGATTCTTACAAGCCAACTCAAGCGACGTGTTGTACCCAGTGATCTTTCTCTTACAAACCCAAATTGTTACATGCCATTCATATCACTTTAATATTAATCCTAGGATGTTCCTGTTTCATGTTTTGGGTATGTATTTTCAGATACTAACCTAAAGTATATCTAAAGCCAATGTTTTCAGTTTGGATAAGGAAGAATTAAAATCCCTGTCAACTTTGTACTCCTCTTTGTCCCTGTGAGGGAGATTCACACATTTGTCCTGGGGACCCTGAAAGAGAAGAAAATCCGACACTGACTGAAACAGAGGAGTAGTCTTCCAATGGGCACACCTGTTGTGACAACCAAGCGAAAATTTCCTTCACTCTGGAAAGATCTCCTCTCACTTCCTGCTGAGTCTCCAGGCAAGGCATGAAGGGAAACATCCCCAGAAGGACCTAGACAGCAAAATTTGATATTTAGATATTCCTTAAGTATACCCAGCTGAAGGTTGTAATAGTTTGTGCATACATGACAAACGTGGTATGTTTTGGCTTGCAAATTTATTGATCATACCACAATGGTCCAAATAACAGCAATAAAAG